GATGTGGAGGAGCTTGCGATATTGGCTGCGAACATGGATCTGGACTCAATGGGGATCATCCATTATCCCCTATAAAGCAATTGACTGTCAACTGAGGATATTTATATGTTCAAATATGTATTACGTAATAGTTATAATTTATTGTAGTGTAGTAATGAGATATATGATTAGTGGTGTAAAAAAAATCTGGTGTGTCCACTCACACGACTTTCCTACCTATTTCAGAATAGTTTTAATATCTTTACATATGTTCATAAAGAAACAAAAAAAAATTGAACTAGATTTATTTTCCTGAAAATTGATCAAAGAAAAGATTTAGTTGATAAACTAAAGCAATGTAAACCGGCTTAAGGTAGATCAGTGTAAACATTTCAATACTCTCTAATATTGCTGATCAAAAACTTTTTGCCATAGCTTAGTATTGTCAAACAATAATTTCTGTTAAAATTAGAGGAAATAGTGAAGCTTGTGTGATGCGGGCAATAGATTTTCTTACTTTCTCTTAGTCATCTTTTATCTCTCATTCACTCCTTTCTGACACCAGGATATGAACCCGTAATCGTACATTGGAAATTGAATAGCTGTAACTTCCTTAATAGTTGTCCAAAATAAACGATTTTTATACAGTTTTGTAGGGAATTTCATTACCTATAAAAAAAAACAGCTATTGCTGATGAATCAGTTTTTCACTGAATTTTTTCGGGAATTTGGGCTATATACGAAAATTGAAAGAACAATTATTAGAACATTATAGAAAAGTTTCATCAAAATAGTTAGAGCCATTTTCGGGCTACAATCTATAGAAAAACATGTTCTTCATTTATTGCGCGGAAGCTATTGCTCATGGAGCACCGAATTTCTGTCACAGGCATCAGTAGTCAAAACCCTACAAAATAAAAAAAGAAGCAACAAAATCAGTTCAGTAGTTCCCGAGAAAATACCGACAGACAGACCAATGGCTAAAAATGTGTTTTTCAGACTCAGGGGGCTCTGAAACGTATAGATCCGTCGAAAACCGCATATTAGAAATTTTACCGGATTGCAATACTTTCCTTATCTAGTATAGGTAGGAAAGTAAAAAGTATGGTTTAGAACACTAGGCTATAGTGAGGGGTTATAAAATCCAACAAATTATTGTTATACCATTCGTATAGAATTGTAATGTCCAAATTTTTATGGTTTTATCTTATCACCACTAGAATGATTAAAACATAGAATACCAGACGATCACATTAATATTGTAAAGTACAGAAGAGATAAAGATCGACCTGTTGTATGCAATCTACGTTTGCAGAATTAAAACATCATCCATTAATTCTGCTTTGACATAATCTTGACTCATGAGAAACTTATTAATGTGATTAAATATGTTAAATTTTTACAGACAGTACTAATTTGAATCAGATGTATCAAAAAATATGTAAATTAAAATTAAATTTTCTTACTTAAAAAAAAAATATTATTTGATCCTAAACACTCCATTGCGAGAAAATCATCAGGAGGATTAAAACTAATGGTTTTTAGGTTACTGAGAGCAATAAACATATATCGTAAAAAAAAATCCATTATTATAATCTTTTATTTATAATTACGTTATTGAACCAACGTTTCGGAGGTCGCCTTCCTCTTCAGGTTTACAATCTAAGATAACTAAGCAAGATAAATAATCATAACCCACACCACTTAAAATATAAAACAGAACAATCTACATTTATATAATTCTAAAACACTATAACTATTTATCCATAATCATTACTGAACTTATGTATGAATGAACTGTGATTTTTTTCCATGGCCATAAATCATATTTTGTAATAACTAACTAGAAACTTTTGTTCTACAATGTATCACGGGCGGATCTAAGCGGGGAGGGGGGCTTTTGTGCTGAAGCTTCTTCCCCCCAAAATGGTAAAATCTCTTAAAGTACTACTATTGTTATGTACTATTATTATTACTTAAAGTACTAACTATTGATCGTGTAATTACATTTAAAAAGACTTTAGAAATCACTTAAACACTATTTCATATAGGTAGTTAATTTCTTTCTTTTTTTTCCAAAGTAACTATCGGTATTTTTATGAAAAAAAAAAAAGCTTCCTGGCTGAATCCCCCTCCTCCCCCTAAAACTTTTTTTTTTTATTATTATTTTAATGGAATTTACAACTGTATTATATAGAGAATACAATAAGTAAATGAGAAATTTGTAACATGGCATGTGCAACATGAAGAGAAACTACCCACTGGTAGAACTCAAACTAAAGTTCTATATTAGAAGATCCCGAGGCCATCTTCTTTTCAGACGCCTCGGAGGATTATCAGGGATCGAGGAGGAAGTAAGGTTTGAAACGAGAGGATTCGGATGGTTCTGCAGTTTGTTATGGAAGGAAAGGTATCTGGATTGGGCCAGATCGGAAACATATGGAACATTAAGGTCTTTATGGATGATTTTATTTGTGACAAAGTAAGGAGCGTTGAGGATTTTACGAAGGATTTTGGATTGTAAGAATTGGATACGAGAGGAATTCGATGGTTTAGTGGAGCCCCAAAGCTCAATTCCGTAAGTCCAAATAGATGTTATTATTGTCATATATACGAGTCGTTTATAAGTGATTTAAAGTTTAGATCGTTTGTCTAGTAAGTGCTGCAGTAGTCGAAAACGTCGGGCGGTTTCTAGTCGTTTCAGTCTGGTATGGGGGTTCCAAGTGAGTCGTTTGTCAAGGTGGAGTCCTAAGTAGCGGATTTGCTCAACAGGAATAAGTGGAGTATTATTGAAGGATACTGTAGGACAAGAGGTCATAGGTTTACGACGGAGGGTAAAGGTGATTTGATGGGATTAGTTGGAATTTATTTTTATTCTCCAATTTTTACACCAATCTTCAAGGCTTGTGATATGTGATTGAAGAGTTTGGGATGCAATTGAAGGATCGTTATTAACTGATAGGATACACGTGTCATCGGCATAGGTGGTGATGATAGTGTTGGACTCCCTAAAATTAAATCCTGGATCTTCCAGTATTGTTCTATTCTAATGGCTTCATATCCATGTTATTCAGTATTATAAAAATATGACAATCTTGTTGTAATACATTATTTTCATTTTGCCTTCTTATAGTTTTCTCGATTTCTTTAATAATTTGATTGAATTTATTCTTATTCTGTGATACTTGTATTAATTTGTATGAATATGTTACCTTGAAGAACTTGTAGCTTCGCTCTTTCTATATTTCTTTGTGCAGAGAGAATAATGCATTCAACATTAAAATTTCCTATTTTTTATGATATGGTCCAACTTCTGAACAAAATAAAGGGAATAAAAATTATTTTTTTATTAGTGATATATGAATTTTACTAAACCACCCGGCAACTATTCATTATATGTAGTTCAGATTAGGTATATATTATTTTTGTTCATAAAACAGGTATTAATATGACTCATTTCTGTGGTCCTCTAAGAATGGGTAAATATAAAAAACATTAATAAATTGCAAACGTTAAATAAAAAATTAAAGATATTCAGCTAAGTATGTTTGAATTAAGTTTTATAATTATAATTATATCATTTCTACAATAGATGCCTTCTTAAACGACCTCCGTATAGAATAAAGGAAGTTAAACTTAAAAAAATATTTTTCTAAACAATTAAATTATTGCATTAATAATTGTTCGTTAGTACAATCAATATAATGGACCAAAAAACTTATCATAAACCTATAACTAAGCCATTTATGAGCACTGAATGGTGTGGTGGAGGCCAGTAGGCACCTACGCCAGTAGCGCTTTTCTACCGCTTACGTGCTTTTTCTAAGAAAATGCTTAAAATATTTTAAAAAGTAAAATAGGTTTTTTAGAAATAAAAATATATTCTCCAGATGTTTTATTTCAGCACGTTTTCTGTTATTGTTGGCCGTTTAATTGCAAATGACGCTTGATTTTCTACTTGAAATATAGTTTGTTAAAAAAATTGACTTTACTGGTATTTTTATATCCTAAGCCAATTATGTTATAATATTTTTTCCTTTTTTCTTATTTTCTGACTATCCAGCTTCAATAAAAGACTGTCTATGATGAAATTAACCCAAATGCTGATTCTCAATGCCCAAGAAACTGATTAAAGTCTAAGTCGTCAGTCCGCCATGTTTGGATGCCATTTCGTTCTTTTTTTTGTGGGAACATTGTTTTTGTTTTAACGATAAAATACAAGGAACACAACGATATGCAATTTATAGGGATGTGGAGGGGAGGGGGAGTGTACGGAAGGGGGTCTGGCCCACCATGTACAAAGAAAGTGGCTTACTAAGAAAGGCGAGACTACAGTTGAAGAGATTAAGTTTAAGAGATTGAGGATACGACCGAATGGAATGTTTATTATTGTTCGGTCCATCTAATTATTGTTTGGATAGTACCCCAATATTTCGAGTTGAGGTGGCATGATAAAAACTGATAGTGGCCAAGGTGATCAGTCATAGGATTACATTACAGAATAAATCATTAAAATTACATCAGCAATACAACGACAATTGTACTCGTTCCTGACAGTTATAACATTTTCCTTTATTTAATTATTTCTATTCGATTGACGAAATTGATAATTAAATGTCATTTCCTAATTTGAACTTATAAAAGATAAATAGGGAAAAATTCAGCATTTTCAAAATTCTAATGGTAAATATTATTGACGCGGTATAATTGAAGATTCTCCTTAAAAGTATCAATAACGCTGTGTCAATAATATGTCAGTTAGGATCTTGCTTAATCGAATGACATATCTTGTTTCTTTATTGCTTGTGTGATCTGCAAAATTAATCTTGTTTCTAAATATTGAAACGTTTCTTTTTTTGTAATTTGGTCATTTTCTTCTTTTGTACACTAATTATTTGATATTTCAGAAACAGTTTTCTAATAAAAATAAACTATTAATTTGTAAATAACGCATACCAATTTGCTTTTGAATAAAAAAAAAATAACATACTGAAAATGAATCACCAAGTTATGAGGTTGATATACGAATCTTGAGAGTAAATTTAAAAACCTTAGACATCATAAAATACTTAAATTTTTTAAATGTAGAGGGATTAGCAACGGTTTGTGTTAAGATTTTTTGTACCTACCCAAAGGCTTAACGAGAAGTTTCGTCGCTTATAGGCACCGATCTTCAATAATATTAATTGATCTATATTTCTTAGTTCATTTAGTTAATGGATCTACGAGGGAGGGGAGCTCTCGGGCAGAATATTACCTTTACCTCCTCAAATGGTAAAATGTAATCATGTTTTATGGTAAAAAATATTAAAAAGTTATCTTTTATGGTATTATTGTTCGTTTAATAGGACTTCAACAATCACTTAAACGCCATTTCATATAGGTAGTTAGTATCTTTCTTTTTTTCCCAAAGTAATAGTCGTTTTATATATATATATATATATATATAAGAAAAAAAAGCTTTCGGGCTGAGGCCCCCAAAATTAAATCCTGGATCTGCTAGTACTACTGTTAAAGTCAAAGTTTTTTGTTTTTTTTATATTTGTTTATTTAGAAATATTACATTCTGTCACATCAAGGACATTTATAATAGTGTTCAGAGAGCACACTCACACTCTATTTACAATAAAAATAAATAAATAATACAGAAACTTAATAATAATAAATACAACAAAGTCAAAGTAAAGCTGTGAGCTTTCTTCCACTCTAAAATATTGATTAGTGGATTATAGTAAATATAAAAACGAAATTTACAACATTTTACAAAACAATATTATACAAAATACAATTTATATCACAAAATTACTTAATAACAGTAATATAATGTTAATAATAATTACTAATGATATGATTGGCCGAATGACTAAGGCCGCCACTCTTTTTAATTGCATATATTTAAATTAAAACTTTTAGAATGTTTACATTTTTTTTTTTTACATAGAGGGGGGAAGGGAATACTTATCCGGGCCTGAATGTTTCCGCACCTTAAAAATTGTCGTCCCAGTAATTTTCTAGTCTGCTTGAGTATAAATCCGCTATTGGGTGGTAACTCCTTCACTTTGAAAAACTTCCATCTTCTCTCAAGTTGTGTCTTTTACGTGATCTGGCTATTATAATGTTTAAACCTTATACGTCCCATAATATTGAAATAGCTTTATTAAAAAATAAAAAATACTTCCAATTTTATTATTCAACAATTATACGATCAATACATTGACGAAATTCGATACTGATCACATAAGAGTGAACCCTTAGAAATTTAGAATAATGAATTTCATTAATAATAGGCAAATCTAAATAAATATTTAAGGATTCTAAATTTTTATTTTCGTGGTCTCATGATATATTTTATAGTTCAATGCCTAAAGCTCGTTTAGTAAAGTTTAAATTGAAGGCAATAATATAAACCTAAATTAATAAATAAATCTTTCTTCTTTATTGGTATTTAGCGTCCTTATATTCCCAAATTAAGGCTATAAATAGTATAGTTACCTTATTGCACACTAACGAGCATTTTAGGTTTTTTTAACTTTTTATGAATGGTTTTTTTGAAGTATTATGATCACTATTTCCTAAATATTTTCGTTGGAAAATATTACGACCTCGGGAATGCTTGGTCCATCTCTGCGAATAAGTTAAACTGTTCCTCAACCAAAATATCCAATTTGTATTAATATTTCTTATCATACAAATCATTGTTATCTGGTATAAACCACTTAATCTCGCGTGATTAGAATCATGGATTTATCTACACATTCTTCTAGACAAATCGATGAAAAATTATGCAATAAACAATATATATATATATATATATATATATATATATATATATATATATATATATATATATATATATATATATACATAGATAGATAGATAGATATAACAGTATCGAAAAAGTAATGGAAACAGAGAAGAAATACTTAGATGTATCCATGGTCCAAGAAAGGTGGGACTTATACCATCAATACTGACCTAAAAATAATGAAGAATCGTATAAAGATGTCACATATCAAGAAACATCAGTAATGAAATTGAAATTCTTTAGCTCCTTGAAGAGAATGAGTACGGACAGCATAAATTAACGGATATTTGGCAATGAAATGGGATTAAATTTTATGGGCAATTTAATAATAATATTTATGTTTAATTTTGTTTACATTAACATTGTATAGAGTAGGGTTTATGATAAAATGCATTTTTTAGGAGTTAAAAAATTAAGAATAATGTAAACAAATTTTTGCCTTTTTCCTCTATATATACCAGAACGCTTGAACTTTTTTTTTGTATACATCAAATTTGGATCCAGCAACCTAATAAACATATGACGTCAAACAATAACAGATGTAATAGACCTCAGATTATCTAAAAAAAAAAAACCCTCAACACTGATATCGGTGAATGAATTTACACTATTGACTCTTTTACGCCGGTTAAAGTCTGAAAAAATAGTTTCGGGAACTGAGAATTGTTCGTTTACCCCCTCTTACCCTCTACACAGAGACAAGTTTGGGTGGTGAAAACTTCAAATCAGATGGAGAAACCAAGATGTATCGTATTAGTGTCTTCATCAGATCGAATTAATAAAATTGAAAAGGATGTTATTCAATTCGATTAATGTAGAGTGTTCTAACAACATCTTGATTCAACAAGCAGACTGAACTGCATTCTCAAAAAAAATATAAAATAATTGTAATAAGAATCAATTGTCCTTACTGACCGTATTAAATCCAAACATTGCTCTATACTACTCGAAAATTGCAGTATATTGCTCAAATTTTGTCTGCTTATGTTTTGAGTCTATTGAATTTGGACTTCAGCCATTTTTAATATAAAGATTTGTAAAATGGACCAAAATTGCTTCCAATTGTTTGAAATATCGTAACAGCTATGTTTATTTATAAAAACTGATGTTTAAGCTGTCTTAGAGTTCACTAGAAGTACCTAATAATTCTGCCCAGTACATGCCGTTAGGTTTGAATAAAAAATACCAGCAAACCAGCTCTAAATATAAAAAGCATGGTTTTCATTTCTTCTCATATTATCTCACACCAGAGAATTATTAATACGATAATTAAATTAAAAATTGCTGGTTATGACGGGGAAAAGATGCTACTTTTTCAATCTTTCAAATTTTAACTAACTTGTCCAACATTAGCGTTAGCTCGTCCCAGTGTGCAGAACTGCTAGACTCGAGGATGTTAAAGTGAGTAACACTTTAACACGCTCTGCCATTATGGCTTCAAAGCCCCTAAAAATTTTAATTTTATTGGAGGATGGCAGGAAGTGAATGAAGGGGTGGTGAAATTGACTCGGCTAAAATTCTAGTTTCGACGCAGCCTCATTTGAAATGGTCGCCAGCGATCAACAGCTTGCCGCAATCGAAAACTAAAGATTACCGAGTTCGAAACCCGATGCTGGAGGCACTTTTAATTCCCAAATAATCCCAAGCACTTTCCCCTGGTCCGAGAAAAGTCCCGTAGAACCGAAAAGAACGAGGAAAATACGGAAAAGAAAAAAAGTTTTAAAACCATAACGGGCTATAGTCTTTTTTCATGATGAATTCTTTAGAATTTAATATAATAATACAGTATTTTAGAAAAACTGAATAAAACATTCCGTGTGAATTTAATATCCACTGACCACATGTTCTATTTTCTGTTAGTATTAAGGTTAATCTGTAAAAATTCTTCTTTTTGAAGTGAGTGCCTTCTCAAGTCATTGACTGAAGTGTTGTGTTGTGAACCTGTCTGCTGAAGAAGAGGAACTACTTGAAGCCGGAGAAATCACGAGATGTGATGATTTGCTCACATACATGAAAATGCAAAAGAAATACTGTTGTGAAACTTCTTTATTTCGTTATAGATCATGTTTCGAATAGTGTTTATTCAAAGATCTTCTTACGATGATCGCCTAATTGGATGATGATTATTTTACTGATACAGCCACAAGATAAAGTTACCTCTTTCTATTTTTTCACAGTGAACTACTGGAAAATACCAGTTTTACCAAGTTAATTTAACAAGAAATAATTGATAATCTGAAATTGCTTTCTGAAGAACTTTCCGAAAGAGAATAGATCGATTTACCACACACAATAGATTTCTTGCACTGAGATTAACCATCTAAGGGATTCCAATGCACCATGGTTAAAATCACCGTTAGAAATAAAACAATTTCCTAATGATGATTAATAAAGAACAAAGTTACAAAACAAAAAGTAATTTCCGAATCGCTACTCCACGATAGCGACTTAATTCAAATCACTTCAATCACACTAGATGGAAATCCCTGAGATTGCCGAAAGTAGGCGAGTATAAACATTTATGTCCATATAAAAATAGAAATATCCACACAACTTATTTTTAACTAAAATGCATAGGAAGCGATTTACTGTGAATCAGAAAATAACTGGGGAAAAAAGTAGTGTTTTTTCTCTTTTTTTTGTAATGGAAGAAAATGCACTTGAATATAGATAAATCATAAAATTGTTAAATTTATTATTAGTTATACAACCCCAAGTGAAAAATTGCGTTTAGGATATAAAGTCAATTTTTATTGCAGCCGTGTTTAATTTTAATCGTTTTTTTTTAATTACTAGCGTCATAAGTATGTATTGAGCTTAATAACCAGAACAATAATGGGAATATTGTATATCGTTCTTAAAACATGAAAAATAATTTCGATATTTATTTTCTAGTTTAGGAAGAAGTTTCGACAGACTGCTGACTAACATTTCGATAAGTCACTATATGCGGCTATTTAAAAATGAAAAAATGAACGGGCGGGGACTTAAGCTGACCTAAACTAATCAAACGTACGCAACTAGATTAAATAAGATGCGAGGTTTAGGAATTGGTCGTCAACGTCAACTTTCGGATACACTTAGGTTTGTCCGGGATTACTCTCATAGTATCCTGATAGTAATCTTCAAACCAGACACCATCTTGAGTAGCGATTCGGAACTAGTAACGTCAAAAATAATCAATTACACAGTTTTGTCATGTTGTCAATTTATTCCGCTGGGTACGTGTATGTTAGGGAAACAGGTGATCTAGTTATTATTACATTTCTAACCTGAATAAGATACGCCGCGTTTTATTTTTTGCTCCCCGTCCTAAGCGAATTGGAAGGAAATGAGCCAATATCCGAATGAATCCGAATCTATCGTTGAAGGAAATAATGGAGTATCAATCTCACGTTACGATGGTAAGATTTAGTTCTTAATTCGTAAAATATAAGTAATTTTAACCTTAACCATTTCAATGTTTTAACAGTTTTATTTTTTATTTTCTATTAAAAAAAAAATCAGTACAATAATTTAATATTTTGACATCTGAATGACGTACATAAATAAAATAATTTAATGTTTCAACAACTTGGAAGTGGCGTTAATAGTTTGTCATTTTAAACTTTGTTCTTACCATTTGATCATATAAGTGGGTATAAAAACAAGTCATGAAGGCACTATATATAAATTCAATTATGTATTTTTATTATTTGTTTTGTCAACGATCATTTTATTCACCATGTAACTTATCAAACCTATCACCGATGGGATGCGACAATAACTGCTGACATGATAGCTATCGTAAAGAGGTAGAGGAAGGAATAATAATAATAATAATAAATTTATTTATTGAGCAATTTTACAAATGCCTTTTAGCATACTTTGTAAATGTGATGTTCGTTAGCGAACCTCCTCTCCGAGATTAGCGTGAATGCGTGATTAGAGAAACCTCCCAGTGAAGGCACTCCTAACGTGACTCAGATTCCTGCTCCAGAGGCGTTTGAGTCTCCTTGGTGGATTCTGTGGTAGTGTGTCTGTTAGTAATGTTTGTACAAGTGGATTAGGATGTCCAGCTAAGGAGTCATGAAAATGTTTGTAATATTTGATTTGTAAAATGAAGTGATTTCTTGGTTATGTAGAAAGGACAATGAGTGATATACCGGAGAAATTTAGATTGGAAAATTTGAATAGTCTGTAAGTGTGTTTTTTTGCATGAACCCCACACCTGAGAGGCATACGTTCATGTTGGTCTGAGTAGCATGTTGTATATAGTAATTTTGTTAGAAAGTGATAGTTTGTTTTTATGGTGTAGCATTCGTCTTAGTAGCGACAATCGATGGTTCAATCTCTTTTTTAATGTAGTCACGTGTGATTTCCAGGTCAGTCGTCTGTCCATTGTGAGTCCTAGATATTTTGTCTCTGTATGATTTGGCAAAGGGGTGTTGTAAAGTATCAGTGGAGGGCAATCGGAACGTTTAGGAGTAAATGTAACCTGATTTGATTTTTGAATGTTAATTTTTATGCGCCATTTATCAAGCCAGTCTTGTAGAAGATTTAAATAAATCTGTGCTTTCTGAGATGCTGTGATCGGTCGTCTGCGTAAGTTGCGAGTAATGTGTATGGTGTCTGTGGAACATCAGAAGAGTAAATTGAATACATAACCGGACCTAAAATACTGTCCTGCGGTACTCCCGCGCCGATTCGGCAATAGTCGGAGTATTTACCATCCTGGTTAACAATACAAAATCTATCCTCAAGATACGATGTGATGATTAAATCGTATGTCTGCAGAAAGATCGGTTTAATTTCACAAAGTAGACTATCATGTTACACTTTACCAAAGGCCTGTGAGACGTCTAAGAAAGTTGTTGTGCAAAGTTCCTTCTTTTCCAATGCCACAGCAATTTTATCAATCACTCTATGACATTGTTGTATGGTAGAGTGTACAGGTCTAAATCCAAATTGGTGATTAGAAATAACATTGTTTGCTTCTAAAAATGGATAGAGTCGTTTTAATAATAATTTTTCAAATATTTTGGAAAATAAGGGTAAAAGACTGATAGGCCTATAGGTTAATTTTTGTGGGCGGGGTGGCCGAATGGGCTAACGCGTGTGCACTGCACCGCCGTTGCCCGCCAACCGTTATACAGAGGACTTTGATAAAAAAAATAAGTCACGAGTACGCGTCCCGGTGCCCGGAGGAGTTTTTAAATCCCCGCCCACACTCCCAGGCCCGGGAAAACCCCCGTATAGCCTTAAAGGCGAGGAAGGGGAGGACAAAAAAAAAATAAATAAAAAAATGATTGGCCTATAGGACGTGACTTGGTTTAAAGGTTTGCTTGGTTTCGGTATCATTTTTGTGGGTGAAAATTAACATATTAGAGAAAAGTAAGTAAGTCGAAGGATAGAATTGTAAATAGCTGTCAGGAAGATTAATGCTTTTTTGGGTAGAAGTCGTACAATTTTAGGTGTGATTGGGTCAAAACCAGGAGATAATTCTGCGAGGTAATTTTTTAATACAAAATTCTATGTCCGAAGGAGTTATAGGGGGAGGAGGTAGAGGAGGTAGAGAAAGAGGAAGAGGAGAAATGAGGATTTGTTGGACGTCTGAGCAGTGCTGTTGGTCAGGCAAGTCTTCATGTGGATGAAATACCTCTGTAAGATGAGTAGCAAATAAATCTGCTTTATCTTTATCGCTTCTAGCCCATGAGTTGTCTGGTTTATGGAGAAGAATCTTTTTTTGGTGGTATCCTAGTATCTTTCGGGTTTGTTGCAAGAGAGTATTGTTACTTGTCTGTAAGGTGGTCAGATGTTTTTTGTAAGTTTCCTGTTTGTATTGTTGTATAAGTTTTCTAAGTTTGATAGAAAGTGCGTTTAGTAGCTGTTTGTCACTAGCGAGATCTTTTCCATTCGTTGAGAGCACGTCGTTTTTCAATTAGAAGTGATCGTATTTCCGGGGGTAAGTAATGTTTGTCGCGGTTGGTCTCGTACTTGTTAGCTGATTGCCAAGCGACAGTTTGTACAGTCTTAGTAAGCGTCTCTACTGCATTGTCAATATCATTTTCCGTCTTTAATCTTGTGTTTAGATCAATTGTCTTATTAATAATGGAATGAAATTTATGAGATAATATTGGCCCAGGAGTTAGTGTAGGTGTGTGGTTGGTAGTAAACATGTGTCTAGAGAGAGATAAAATAACCGCTGAATGGTCTGATGATAAGTCGTTACTAATAGAGATATGATGGTGCAGTGTGTGCAGGCTAGAAGTTATAAAGAAATCAAGTAATTCTGGTTGACGGTTTATGTCTGTCGACCAGTACGTCGGTTCAGGTGGTAGTATGCAGTTATAGTCCAGTTCTATACATGTATTAAAAACAGAGTTTACTCTAGAATTATTGGTCCTATTGCCGAAACGGGGATGCTTGGCGTTAAAATCTCCTCCACATAAAAATTTAGGTCCTAAGCTGGCAAGTGTGTCTGTAAACGTTTCCTGTGAAACTCTTTGTCTCGGAGGACAATATGCACTGACAATAGAAATTTTGGTGTGATCGATTTCAACCGAAATAGATGATAATTGAATTTCTGGCAAGCCATTCATTTGAAGAGGATAGTGGTATAATGTTCGTTTTACGACTATTGCCGAGCCACCACGGGCAGTACCGCTGGGATGGTCAGCGCGGTACACCACATACCCTTGTATGTAAAATGTTGTAGTCGAGCAACGTCAATGTCATTTTCATTTAAATAAATGTCAAGTTCATTCCTTCGGTGTAGGGTAACATTTGAATTCCAAAGATGGATTTTTAGAGAGTGTTGTGAGATTGAATTAATGACTAACATGAAGAATAAATTTGGTAATTAGCGTGGTGAGAAGAGTGATGAGCGGAGTTATCATAGATTTAAAATCATTTAAGAAGGAATTAAAATATAATGAGAGATCTAGAGTATTGTGTATTAGATGTTGTGTGATGAGGTCTTGAGTATGAGGTTGACGTGTATTGATGCGGTATGTATTGAGATTGGGTATAATGAGGTACTGAACGGTCAGGGATTATTCTCGTTTGGTTTATTGAGTGCTGAGGAGTTATACTTGTAGTATGAGGAGTAGATTATTGAGGAGATATATTTCAAGTTCGAGGATCTGTAATTTGAGGAGTCGTATGATGAGGAATGGTATTGTGAGGCATTACATAACGAGGAGATTCATTTGAAGTTTTGGGATTTGTAATTTGAATTGTATAATGAGGAGCGATATTGTGAGAGATTGCGTATTGAGGAGTTACACTCGTTGTTTGAGCAGTTGTGAATTGTGGTGTTGTGTTGTGATATGTAGTTTTAGTACACGTTGCCTGTGCGTAAGTCATTGTGTAGTTTTTGCGAGATAGGGACGGTGTAAGCCGGTCGTGTTCTGCATCTGGAGGCAGGTGTTCTGTTACCTCTTTACTCGAAGTGGCCTGGCTCCACACATTGAGTCTTCTTTTCTGCAACTCTATATGCACTACGCATCCCCTATAATTCGCAGGATGATTGCCACTGCACAACGCACAAACAGGTGGCTCTTCAAGTGGTTTCTGGGACCTATAACTAGGATGATCTTGACCGCACTTCACACATCGTGGTATGTGACGGCAAAATGTTCTGGTGTGCCCGTATTGTTGGCATCTCATACATTGAACAATATTTCTTCTTTTGTAAGGTTCTTCAATCCAAACCCTTGTGTAAGCCAAATTAGCGATATTAAAAACTTCAGCATTGTTTTTAGCTGGCTCTAAGTCAACAAAGAAGATTGGGAGTGGTTCTTTTGATCTCGGATGTAACACATTAGAGATGAGACGGATGTTGAATCCTTTTCTTTCAAGATCATATTTTATCATTTCGTGTGGTGTTGAATAATGGAGATTTCTAATAACAAACCTATATGGTTTGCCTTCTTGAGATTGATAAGTATGAAAGTTGTAATTGTTGGTTTCTAAATATTTAATGCAGACTCTATAGGCTTCACTTGTTTTAATTTTGAATGTAACAATCAATTTGTTAGAAAAACATTCAAAATTAAAACAAGTGAAGCCTATAGAGTCTGCATTAAATATTTAGAAACCAACAATTACAACTTTCATACTTATCAATCTCAAGAAGGCAAACCATATAGGTTTGTTATTAGAAATCTCCATTATTCAACACCACACGAAATGATAAAATATGATCTTGAAAGAAAAGGATTCAACATCCGTCTCATCTCTAATGTGACTTCGGCAGGGATCGTTTCGAATTTTGCCTATCTTACGAAGTCTCTAAAATGGTCATTTTTAAAAATATTTTAATGATAGTTGGAAAGATGTAAAAATAGATACAAACGTAAATAATCATTATAACTGATATAAACCTATTGGACGTCGGGGACCGTAACCGCAGCTAACGTGTTAACTTAGTTAGTTTGTAATAAATCAAGTTACAAAAACTAAATGTATATAATTTTCCTAAATTAACATTCTTTTTAGTTTTTTAATTGTATGTTTATATATACACAAAAACACACACACAAGTTTTTTTTTCTATAAAATGTAATTTATTAGTTTACCATGTAAAAATCTTACAAAATTTATCTTTTAATGGGATACGAAAATTCCCGAAATTAAATATGCTTTTCCTCATTAAGTAAATACAATTTCGGAAAAAAAAAATTAATTCGTTTGTATCGACTTTTTTCCCGGTAGATTGCTTGGACAGCCCACTGTGCGCAGTAAGTTCAGAGTAACACTTAACATTCACATGCGAGGATATGTTGGTCTTCAGTTCTGGTACATGTCTCTAAGCCATACAAAAGGTGCAGAACGAATGAGAGTCCTATAAATGATAAGTTTTGTTCGCTTAGATATAAATTTGCTGGAGAGATGCTTCTGGAGTCCAAAATAGTAATGATTGACAGCCAATATTCTCCTTCTTTTCTCCACTGCAGCATCGTTGTTGCAGGTTACCATTGATCCCAGTTAGACAAACTCTGAGTGAGACCTGAAATGGCTTCAAATTTTCATTGAATATTGTGATGATGAGGGTAATGTAGAAGAAGGTAATTAGTAGATAATGTTTTCCAGAAAATGCCCAACTTTACAGAGAGGGTAAATAGTTTTTTTTTTTTTTTCTAGAACAATACAAAATAAAAATGACTTACTATTCATTTAAGTGATCTTCTCATCGAACGGTTAACCAGAAGTCAGAAAGTGAAGTATGCGTAAGGATGCTGGGTTTTACACATCAATTTAGAATGCGTAAAACCGCAGAGGTATTAAGAAAATAGCTTTGTCTGTTTGAAAATAGATATTAAGATTCCCATTGAGTAATTATTTCAGAACATCTTTGTAGTAGAAAGTTTTACAGACCCTGGCGTAGTTTTAAATTAAATGACTAATTCGGACTTAAATAACATTTTCGATTGCCGATGAAAACTTTTTCTATCACTATGGAAATGTTCGATATTAGGATATACCTATTTTTCAATTTTATTTTCTATATTTTAATCCAATAGGTCTCGTTGAAGTTGATTTTGGTTTTAGAATTGTGCATAGTCCACCTCTCTAATGACAATCTATTTATTATCTTTAGGTTACGTTGAGGTTTGTGTTTGCCAGTCCTAATGGTGCATGAATAAAAGTAACGTTGACGGGTTTTCTCGCAATGATACTTAAAGTAATAAGCTATACTGATATAATATCCACAAATAGTTCTACTCCTGGGATTGTGTTTACAAGGAGCATATAAATCTAATATTTTTTAATATACACTGGAGTGTCTGTTGCCTTAAAAAATGTTATACATTACGGTCTTTTCTTCATATTGCCGAGTGGTAATAACCATTTACGTTAGTTATTCATTATTATAAGTATTACTCGTCCTATTAAATAAAAAAATAAAAAAAATAATTAGTTTTGAATTACGTATACTCGATATTTGTTATTTATCTTTCAACAAAGGTTACTAAAAATATAATGTATTCTGTTTCAGTATCGGAAAGCGAATATTCTTCCTATAACTGTAAATACTGTTTATACGGTACTAATACCATAAAAGCATTAAGAAGGCATGAGCGTGCTCATATCTTACCAGGGCCATCCGCCAGAAAAGAACTGAAACCTCTGAACTGTTGCGAGTTTTGCAACATCAAATTTGTGCAGAAGAAGGATTTAGAAGAACACATGAAAACCCATGCTGTAGGGATGGTGTGCTCTTTGTGCAGTTATACATCCGCGAACAAAAATATCCTAAAGAATCATGTAAGAGCACACGGCAACAAGAGGTCGTTTCAATGCCTCCTCTGCACTGAAAGGATGACAAACCACAAGATGTTCGATACCCACATGAACAAGCACGTATTGACGCTGTCTTCGTGCAAATGGTGCCGCTTTATGACTGACACCCCCAGTCGCCTCAAGGCGCACTTTCAAGTGCACATGAAGACCAAGCAGATCAAATGTAATTTTTGTGATTACTTCTGCTTCGTCGAAAGAGACATGAATGAACACATGACACTTCATGAGAACGATAAACATTATGGCAAACAAACTGAAACACAAAATGACAAAATATGTAAAGAAGATGAACATGATGTAACCAAATCTGAGGAAGATTTGGAATACAAAGACAAAGTATCGTTATTGAACGAGGCTGACTCCTTCAACATCAAGAGGTTACTTAAAAGAGCTTTTTTCAAATGCAGTATCTGCGGAGAGATCCAAAATACGGACGATGCCCTACAGCGACACAGCTACAAGCATATTTTGCAACAGCAGTATTCTTGCCACTTTTGCAATTTTAGCTGCAGGAACAAGGAAGAGATCAGAGATCATTTGATTGAACATCTGCCTATCTTCGACATGTCTGAGGTTGGTAAATAAACGATTTTCTTCCATAACGTCTTCAAATTTTATCCAGTTTATACATTATTTGTTGCCGTGATGTCAAGTTACTAAAAAGATATCTCCGTTTGACTCATTACTTAGGTATTAAGTGATTCTCAAAACTTTATCAGAAAGTAAATAATGGTTCAATGAAATATAATATATTTTAATGAATTTATGATTGTAATTTTATTACATATATATCCGATATCTTTTCGATTTTTTATGTGGGAAAAGAGGCATTGTAAGTAATTGATAAGGAGTAAACAAGCAGAACCTAATGTAATCGAAACTCAATTATTAGTATTGTGAATTGCTTGATCGCGTAATGCTGATCTAACCATGAATATTTGGTTCCAAGTTAAACAACATACTCCAAAGTAATTTAATTTGGAAAGTGACGCTCTCAAAATGATTCTTGTTCTGTAATATGTATGATTTATTAATCATAACTCGATTACGCTTTTAAGTATCTAAACAATTTTTCTTTTCATATATATATATATATATATATATATATGTTATAACATATTTTACTTTGTAAATTATATTAGGGACTTTGTAAATTATAAGTGTTATCATATTTCATGTTCATGTTTTGTTCTTTTATTTCAATTTTTTTTTTTTTTTTTTGAGCTTTTTGAAAAAAACGTATTTATATGTAAAATATTTTATTAGGTCTTATTAATTTTACAAACAATGTTATCATGTAACTAGTAATAAAAAATAAAAGGTACGATGTTTTAGAGCTAACGGTCGGTAGGTCCTCCACTGTAAAAGTAGATTTGTGAATAACGTAGTTCTGCAATTCGTTTGTTCTAATAGTGATTAGTGTTTTTTTGGTGGCGCAAATCTGTTAGTTGCCCAGTGAACTATGTATTTAATGTAGACCGTATTAAAATATATATATATATATATATATATAATGGAATTCTGGAATTCCATCCCACTAAAAATCCGCCATGCATCATCCTTATCCACCTTTAAAACCCTCCTATTCCAATTCCTCTTCACAATCCAATCAGACGCTGGTTTAATGCATACTATGTTATAAGGATTTAATTTTCTTTACTCATTATTTTTTTTCTCTTAGTTTTTATTTTTTTATTCTGTGTTGAACGTGAATTTTCATCACCACTCACTAAGCATTGTGAGTAGATAAAATTTGTTTTTCTTAAGTTCTAATTTGTTATTCATGAAATGTATTTCAGTGAAATGTATTTTATTTTCTCTTCTCCTAATCTTTCCGCTTAATCACTTAAATATCTTAGGGAACATATGTATATCATTATTTTTTTTTTATATTTTTTTTGTTTTAGTTTTTACAATTTCTTTCCCTACATATTAACAGTTATTATTATTTTTTTAATTTTTATATTCCTTCACTACAATGCTTTACCTATAAAATAGATTTTACTTTCCTTTCTAATTTCATTCAGTGATTATTATGCAATTATTTTAGTTCCAATATTGTAGTACTGAACCCCTATTACCCAACTGTCCTCGTTAATTTATCCTAAGAGCTTAATTAATACTTAATGTATTACATGTATTTTGTTATTATTCATTGTAATAAGTCTTTTGACCAGATTTGTAGCTAATATATATGAACAATACTGTTATTCTAAAGGGACCTAGTCCCAGAATAAAGATGATTTTTCTATTTCTATTTCTATATATGTATATTTTGGTGGCAATTATTCTTTTTGTGAAAAACTAATGTTTGTAATAATTTTAATATAAGTGTTTATGAAATAAAATAAAATAAAAATAAAAAGAATTTGGACTAAGAGATCTCAGGGCCTAATTAAAATAATTGTTACTAGTTTTGCCTCTCACTAACCTTTAAACAGGTCTGAGAACTGGTTATTAGTTTAAATAAGGACCTGGTTTAGTCATGGTCAAATGTTAGCAATAGTAATTGCATAATTGTCTTACGGAGAGTAAGAAAAAAAAAGAAAAAAATGATGGGCAAAAAAAAGTTCATAAAGCAGGGTGTTTCTTCCACGCCTAGTGAAGAAATAAAGGCCCCAGACCATAAAGTGTGAAAGATGCATACAGCATACTATGTATCCTTTCCTTAAAGTGCCACCGGATAAAGATCGGTAAATTGTAAAGAGGTGTATATACATATATTTCTAGGACTGTGTATATGTAGTTGTGTTTAGTAAACAAAGGGAAAGTGGAGGGAGGAAAAAAAAAAATGATGAGTATAACTGTTTATCATGAGTAGCAGTTGCAACTGCTTCTGCTACCTTCAAAAAACAGATATAACTATTTCATAACGGCTAGAAAAAACAGCTTTCAAAATAGTCTAAAGTACAGTATAACTGCTGCAGGGAGTTTTATCAGTTTTATAGGACTGTAAGTATCTGCTTCAGAGAGCTGTTTCTGTATCTGTTGCAGGAAGCTGTTTAAATTAAATAGCTTTCTGTATCTGTATTAGAAAACTGTTCACGTATCTGTTCCAAGAAGCAGTTTAATGAAACAGGTTTATTTATCTGTTTAAATTAAACAGCTTCTGTATCCTTCACATAGCCTTTGCCGATTCTTCCTCTGCCGGTCGCTCTTTCCCCAGGGTGATATGCCTAGGGACTTTCTTCCACCTTCTCACGTACTCTATTACTGTATCGTGCAGGTACATTCTTCTCACCAGTGAACGATTTCTCGTTGAAGGAGTTTTGGTGGGAATGGAATAAACGGTAGTCGGATGGTGCAAGTTATATTTAACGGTGGGTGTAATAAAACATTGCAGCCAAATTGCACTAACTTTTGCTGAATGATTATTGCGTAGTGTAGTTTGGTGATATCGTGGCAGAATGCAACACCTTTGCGATTGCCCGGCTTCATATGATGGAGATCTGGGGAAAAAAAACACAATTTCATAACCACCTTGCACGAAAAATATTTAAAAATCATTATTTTTAGAAATAATATGTGTTTTTAGGCAGATAATTTGTTTACAATACATCCCATATCACCGAAAAACGAGAAATAAAAGCTTTGCAACAGTTAATTATCGTAATTTTTGCAGAAAACACGGGTACTTTTAGGTGACTGAATAGAAAATCACATAACTTCTTTACACAACTTGAGGTGAATCTCAATTTTTTTTCTAATAAACCTCAACTTAATTAATATGGACTTAAAGTTTATTAAATGAAGAAGTTTTACTAAAAGTTGAGTTAATGTCGTACAGTTGTAGGGTGATAAAAAAAAAAAAATGATAAATAGAGATAATAACCGAAGGTAGTGAAGCATTACATTCGTGCGAGAGGCCAAACAAAATTATGTACTCAGATTCGAAAATTTCGACTCGCGCTTTACGTTTCAGACATCAAGGATCAAATTTGGTTCGGTGTCTGTCTGTCTTTAGTCAAATTGATGGGAAGGGCATATCACATAGTACCGTTCATCCGATTTTCAGTAATTGTGGGGGTTATTGCCTAGATGGTCCCATATCAATTTTATCAAATTTCATGCAGCACTTCCGCCTTCGCACATGCAAACGTATTTTTATAAGTATACCAATATTTCAGAAACAGTCGGTTCGATTTGGATCAAAGTTGGATAGAAAGTATATAATGGAAACAAAATAAGTTAGTGTCAATTTTATTGCATTGTGTCCACTACAGCCTCTTATATACGCAGTAGTTTTATTTTAAAAAATACTTAATTGTGATTTTGTTAATATCTTTGGTTCAACTTGAGTTGATTCGCCGTGGCTTCGATTTCATTCTTAAATATCAAAGTTGTGTCAACTTCACAAATATTTTTATATTATAGTTAATTCTGAACAAAAAAAAGTTGGATTTTTCTTATTAAGTATATATTACTACAGTCAGTGCGAAAGATCGTATGTAAATATTTTCAACTTTCATTCTATTTATGCTAAAGATGACATTTTGTAGCCTGCAACTGATATAAGTAGTCAACTACGATAGAAAATAGCAAAAGACAATAAAATATGAAATTATACTAATAAATAATAAAGAAACAATTAGTTCTTTTGCTCTGCTGTAAACATTCAATTTTTACATACGGTATTTTGCACTAACAGTATTGGTATTTATGTTCAGTATGCACTGGAATTTTTTTTTTAATCACGATTCATAAAATATGTAATCTGCAAATGCAGAACTCTTTCAAATTTTAGTATTCAATGTACAAAGCTCGTGAATATCAAACCCGTATATGTTGAGTGATTATTGAATTTCCGAAAACGACTTCTCCCAGAGATTTTATTCTAATACGAAAAATGATAGATCTTGTAATATAGAATATTTTTAGCCAATAAAAACGGTGAGAAAGCTATACCGACCTTGCTTGGCCGAAGTTTTTTTTAAAGAGAACTTAGCTGTGTTTGTCAAAACTTCTCTTTGGATAGTTTAAACAATGACAAACCCTACTTCTGTTTAAAGTAAATTTTGTCTAGTTTACTTTGGAGTAATGTTTAATTACTTTAATCGAATATTTTTTAAGTCATCGCTTCCTATTCAACAAAAAACGTGACGCTTAAAAAAACACAAATTTGAAATTTCTTAGTTTTCTGCTGGAAATTGGGCAAATGTTTATATGTACTTTTTTTGTAGAATATTTCCCTCTACTTACGGAACATTTTATACATACAGGACATCCCGTAAAAAGAGGGAAATATTTAAAAGATTGATAGCAAATCTCAAGATCAACAAAAACAAATTATATAAACATTCGTTCAATTTTCGATAGAAAAGTAGGAAATTAATTTTTGTGTCTTTTTAAGCAATAACTAAAGAAATAATTAATAATAATATTTAAGTAATTAAAAAGAGCTTTATAGCAAACTAGATAAAATTGTCATTGAATGAAAATAGTGTATATAGTGACAGTGCTTGAACGGCTAAACAACGGTGAGTTGTGTTTTTAAAAACATCATAAATTATTCTTTTTTTTTTATCTTCTTCCGTCAATATTACCGAATCTGTACAAAAACTTCCTCGTTTCTATAATTTTCTAGTCCATATTAATCATTTTATATAATGAATAATCGAAAAATATATTTTTTATTAGAAATATTTTTTTTTTTTATAAATTTATATTTATTATTATTCACCACAGTCATCGAAAAAAGAAAATAAATTAAAGCTTTGTTTTACTCCAACGTTTTAAAAAATAGTTCTCAAGATTAG